CGGCATCTCAAAAAAAGATTATTCATTTCACATTGCTGTTCTGGGACTTTGGTGTGGACAAAATCAGTTGCCATGTTGCCTACATTACAACAGTGACGACATTTAAAAAGTATTTAACTGACTATGAAGTGCTTTGGTATAGCCAGTTGTAAATGGAAGCTACTATATAAATACAACTTTTATTATATTGAAAGCTACATTATCTCTTTGCACTCAGGCCATTTATTAGGTCACTGTCCACTTCATGCAAGAAAACAAACAGCCGGTGTCTGTTCAGCATCTGGGTTAGGGAAAGGTAAAGATTCCAATGAAAAGAGAACGAATGCAGAACTTTATTGAGAACTTCAAGGGCATATTTTCAACTGGCTGCTCTTTAATATAAAACTTCAAAGCAATTAAACATGAGACAATTTGAGCAGACACTGCTTATACAGAATATTGATTTATTTTTCTCTATTTCCTCTCCCTGCTGTCCCCAAATCATTTCGTCCATAGAACCATCTCTAACTCCCACTAAACTCTTGACCACCAGCTTCTCCTGTGGCCATTACAGTAACTTACACTGTAGATAGCTCCCTCTCCGTAGACACTGCCTCCCTTCCTCTGAAATCCATCAGCAAAACCTAATCAAAGAAGCCCATTTTCAACATGTTTCAACATGTAATCCTCCTTGTCCTCTTGAACTCTGCTGCAGACTTTGACGTGGTAAAAGCTCACAACCTTTCGCTAACAGGTTTATACACAGAGGGTTAAAATTGAATCAGAGATAGTAGGAGGGTGATAGGTCCTTGGAATGTGCTGCCAGGGCAGGTCATAGAAGCAGATATGGCAGCAATGTTTAAAGGGCACTTAGACAGACACATGTACAGGCAGGGAATAGAGAGATACAGACCATGTGCAGGCAGATGGGATTAAGTTTAGGATAGGTTCATGGTTGGCACAGACATGGAGGGTTAAAGGGCCTGTCTCTATGCTATACTGCTGTGTTCTATGTACTGCTGCATCTGATGCATTAGCCTTGACTTTTGTCTTCATAGATTTCTGCACTCCCAAAGCTCTGCTGCCTATTAGCCATTCTTCATCAAGTTTGTTTGCCCTCTCCTGAAGGATGCAACAAACTTGTAATTCATTTTTAAGTTTAAATCCCATCATAGTCTTGGTCCTTCCTAACTCTCTAATCTCATGCTATGTTCTAACCTTTTATAACAAACTGTAATTTTCTCTGACCATTTCACCTCTAGACCTTACCTTTCTCTGTTTCTTTAAAAGTCGAATTAAACCCAATCCATTGACAAAACATGTGGTTATCCCTTCCAATCTTCCCTTTCATAAATTTATGTGTGGAGGATCTTTTCTGTTTCTCTATATTAAAAGGTGCTACATAAATAATATCAACTGAATGAGGTAAAGTGCTGCTTTTAGGATTTTCTATCCAAAACACAAGTAACATTATTGAGACGCAAAGCAGCATTTTGCTTGTTAAGAACTTTTAAATAGTGATTATTAGCAAATTATATGCAATGGTGGGGAAAAGAGATAACGGAAATGACTACAAATCTTGATGTCCTACCTGCTTGGCAATCATGAAGATTTCAAAGTATATTTATAGCAATAAAGTTGTTATAGCAGGAAGGTAGGGTTTTCAGTAACCCTCGTAAATTAATGCACCTTCATAGCAAAGGTGGAGGAAGTGAACATCTGAAGAATTTAAATAGATTCCACTTTACAGAGCATGTAAGTTCAAATCTGCCCTCAGCTACATTTGTCAATGTGTTTAGATTGCATTGCTAAAAGCTAATACACATACATGTTCAGAAATGCTTTGCAAGCTGTCAGTAGGATTCTTACTGGTGGTCAGTAAGAGCTGTAGTTCTTGTTTACTGGGCAGAGGTAGAGTAAATGGTAAAGCATCAGAAGAAACATGAAATAAAAATAAATGCTGACAGCATGAAAGAGTAGTTACAAGAATTATAACTGATTTGGGAGAAATATCAATATACATCAGTTCAGGCACAACTATCTAATCTTGTGCTGCTGGCAAGTTTGATGTTTCTATTCATGTTCACCAGATAGTTTCACATTACTATCTCAGTTTGGAAGTTGTCCTCTGGTCAAGATGAGTAAGCAAGTTGTCATAACATACCACCATCTTCAGTTCCATTTCAGATTCTAGGCACTGCCACACTATGCTTCAGTTGTACTAACTGACACATTAAGCAGACAAGATCTTGGTATCTGCTGCTGCACACCTGTGGTTGACTCCTGATTAAAATGATTAAATTTAGGATGAGTCCAGTCATGGTGATCCCATCATTCTGAGAACATCAAATGATGTGTTTGTGGAAGAGGTGAGTTATGTACAAGTTTGGAATGCAGACAAAGAACAAATAGGCCAACTTTAAAATATAGGTGAACAACAGTACCAAGGATGATAACTAATGGATATCAGATATATTTAGATGAACATTAAGAGCAAGTAATTTTTGATACCATACTCGCATTTTAAAAGTCAAGTGACCATACTTTTTCAAGCTGTGAGGAAGCAAACATAAAAAGTGAAGAAAAGCAAATGTGAATTCAGAAATTGTTGCACTATTTAAGTTACACATCAACGTTTTTCCTTATGGTTTGCACATGGCAGAAGTGCAGGTATTTATTAGAATGCTCTACAATCTGCAAACCTGAACAAGCATTTTTAATATGAGTGATTGTTAACTTTTTGTTGAAATGAAGCTGGAATTTCCTGCAAAATCTCAGGGTATCATCACCCATATATGACAACTGGATGCATTAACATAAACAATTTTTAAAGTACACAATGTAAAATATATTATCTTAATAGTCAAAATATTTCATATATTCATAATTCACAATATTGATATTTGTCAGTTTAAACAGTTTATAATGTTTAAGCTGAAGGTTTTTCTCACCCCCATGAAAAGTACACATACACATCTCATTGGCAAGAACTAATAAAATTGAAATTTGGAAGCATCTCTAACAAAGTTTTGTAGCAAATAAATTCTGCTAATAATAAACCATGCCCTTGCTGGGTGCTAAGATTGATGTAACTTCTTTTAAATTTTGCACAGTTTTAAAACAGAAAATGCTTTGCATTGCTATCAAGTTTAAAGGCTGTTGACATAATGAAAAGACATAATGACATATTGAAAAGAGCAGTACACATTCTTTTCTGACTTCTTGGACATTGCAATGACCATGCAGTGGAAATGTGCTACCTGGATCAAACAGAATTTTCACAATTTCAATTTAGCTGTCTTAAATTTTTTAAAAAAACTGTATTGTCACAACTAGGCATTGATGCCAGTACATCAATGTTTGGTGCATGAAAATAAACTAAAAGATCGTTGTTAATGCTGTGATGTGATATTTCTACAGTTTATGCGAGATTGGCTGATTAGAAGTTCCATATAGCTAACATTTCATTACCCTGCTTGTCATCAATACCTTAGCTCTAATGAAGAGAAGTCTAAAACGTAAACTGTTTGCATCTATAAAGAAATGCTGTAGGATTCAATTATTTGAATGTGCTATTCTGATATTTTGTTGCAATACAATACAAAATACAGCTGACAACACCTGAGATATAATGCAGGCTGTGCTGGACTGTAAATCAAACTATGTCCATTGTGTAAGAACTCTAGTGTACACAGATTTTGGCCCAGGTTTTCCTGTAGGAGGGCATCTAACAGTACGTGCCACTAGCCAGACAGTTAAAATAACAGGAGCTAATCTGAGACCAGAAAGAACAGAAAAGCATCTGCATAATCTCCTTTATCGATCAGATTGCAGGATTGTGAAATAAACAACACAACGGCTAAAAGGACGCACAAACTAAACTAGTTAGAATCGAAAGCAAAGTAGGTACCACAGCAGAAATAAAGAGCCGGAGAAAGATTGGAGTAAGAGAGAGAGAGGTCGTAAAGGGAGAAAAAGAAAATCAGTGTTTACATTTTGTTCTAATCAACCTGTTCAGCGATTTATCATGCACCTTCAGAGCAGGTGGGGCTTGGACTCATGCCTCCTGGCTCAGACACTATCACTCGACCACAAGATTCTCCCTACTTTTTAACAGTGTTTAAAATCTCAGAGTGCAATTAAAACCTGAAGGAACAATTTAGCACTTGTAATAGTTCATTTTCGCTTACAGAAAGGTTGGCCAGCAACAGTTAACCCTTCCCCTTTTAATAGGATACTTAGAGAGGAATGGACCATACTTAAGTTTCGGTGGACAGTTTAGTTGCTTTCTACTAAACGAATACGGACACTTCTCCCCGCTGAATGGTGGTACTTTTTTTTTTGCGAAGCTAATTGCGAAACGGGTCAGCGTGGATAGCAGCGTTACAATATCCACAGCTCAATTCCTACCTGGCTTTAACTAAAGTTGCTGCAGCATTTACACGTAAACAACACCGTGCGGTTTGCCTCATCATTTACTTCGATAGCAGAATCGGTCCACTATTTCTACATTTTTTTTCACTCACTCTGATAAGGCAATGAGGGGGTTGTGCATTCGTTAAACAGATTAAATACAAAACGTCTGGCAAATCCAACAGAACTTTTTTTTGTCTGGAGCTGTGTGCAAAACAAGTTGTTTTTCCGGACAAGTCGTGTACGCTTAGGTTTTATTTCGTCGAGGGCAGTGTTTCACCCTCCACAGAGTTACACAGACATCCTAAAACCTATTTGCACGTGGTATCAAGTGGCAGCTTCACTGTCCCTTAAAGATCTGTGAATCAGTTTAATCGCAGTTTTAATTGCAGATTTCCTAGTTTAAGTGTAGAGGATGTGCTGGCCGAAATAAAAGGCGGAAAAGTTTACAACTGAAAGAGACGAGCTCCCCTTGTCCCCCAGGGCTGCAATCCCCTCATAAGGTGCAAAACACAAGCCTCTGCACTATTTCTGTCTCCTCTCCCACAATACACGGGGTGAGAAGTCTCCCTCCTCACACCCCGGCGTGTCTACCCCCTGAGCCCTACCTTATAGACGGTGATGGGGATATCGATGATAATGTGCAGCAAATCCCCGAGAGCCAGGCTGGCAATGAGGATGTTGGGTCCATTCCTCATGTACTTGTTCTTGTAGATAATTCTCAGCAGGGTGGAGTTGCCGATGATCCCCACCACGAACACTAGGCAAGAGACGAGGGTGTTGATGTATTTGAAGGTGCCCTTAATCTCGGTCCGCTGCGTGCACAGGGGCCGGTTCTCCGAACCGTTCCCGTTCCGATTCCAGCCGCTGGCGTTGGCTATCTCCCGGCCGGCCGGTTTGTGGGCAGTGGGCGCCGGTTGAGGGGTGGTCTGACCCCGTACCGTGAGTACAGAGGTCTCCCCGAGGGTGAGGAGGATCAGAAAGACCAGAGCTCCTGAAGCGACCATCCTGAATCTCCCCAACAGTCTTCCCCCCAGAACCAAGGCAGTCACTGGGAACTGAGAGGTTTACCGCTTGGAAACTATAAAGGAGGAGGGGCTGTGATGGGGGTGGGGAGCAAAAGGATATAAGACAGTTCAACCAATTCCACTTGGTCCTCCCGTGTAGGACCAGAGGCTGTAATCTATCAAACCCAGTCCAAGTTCAGTCTCTCCTTGATAAACTTGACTGGGTTTTAAAAGGGGGAAGTGATATCCAGAAGGCGTTAACTTGTCTGCCGATAGACATAACGAGGGAGGCCGCTCAGGTCGAGTGTATTTTGAATCAAATGATTTTTTTTTTAATATGTTACTGACAAATATTTTTCTTACATCCTGTGCGTCCCCCGACCATTGCCGTGCACTAAACACTTTACTCCTTGCTTAATCTTCACCTTATTGTTTACAAGTCTGTTCATCCTTCCCCTGCCTACCCCTCCTCTACTTCCAAATAAACAAAAATGTCCTCCGCACCCCTCTTGTTCATTTTCTCCCGTGTCCACTGCGGGATTTGGATGACAACTTTTCATTAGCACAGGGATTCTGAAGATTGTGTTTGTCTCTGTCTCTGCAGCGCAGATCCCCAGTTCTCTCTCACTCTCTCTCACACACACACACAGGTTAGAGCTGGGGCGCCCCGAAGATTTTAAGTTTCGCTCCCTCTCTGCCGACCCGCGGTAAGAAATGATTTCCCCGGGCACTAGCCCCCAAGACCCGAGATTACAAACTCTGAGATCTCAGATCCAAGTGACATATTTGCAATGCTGCTCTCTAAGGGGACTTTTTTTTATTTCAACCACCTTCTCCCAAGAGATCCCGACAAAGATATCATCCGGATACAAAAATAAAGTTGGAGATCACAGAGGCAGCATCGATAGACAGAGACCAAACTAACGGTTCGAGTCTGGATAATTCTTCACTAAACCCTCCGACCTGTCCCTTGTTTCGTGCTTTCGCCACTATCATATCAACACCTATGATTTTTGGAGTTTGAGTCGCATTTTTTCACACCAAATTCACCATTCTTTCCGTTTCCAACTGGGAATTTGTGCCTATCTGCTTAAATTGTGTAAAATGATGTGAAAATACAAGCTGAGTCCGGAATCTGGGGAAAATCGGTCAAGTCAAACACACAGATCTGATTAATTCAGCTCGATACGAGCGTAAATTCACGCAAAGCGCTGTTAGTGTTGGAAATCTGAAATAAAAACAGAAAGTGCTGGAGAAACTCAGCAGTTCCGGCACATCGGTGGAGAGAGAAACACTTAACATTTCGTGTCGAGTTTGCTTCTTCCATTTGATAGTGAATAAATTGATCCGGCTTTAAACTTAGGCTGCAGAAAATAGGAAGCGCTGGTTAACTATTTCCAATCAACCCTCTCTGATCTTATCATTGCATCTCAGATCCTCCCAGCTTAATCATCATTCCCATTTTCTTTCCGGCGAGATCTTGGCGGTGTGGAAAGAGGGTCTCAATTACTTGGAGAAATGTTATCTCCAGTGCCCTGGTCAACCTTCAACCAACTTGATAAAACAAAAACCTACAAGATTGTCACGTTGTTTATCACGTTGCCCTTTATGGGATCCTGCTACACTCAAAAAATGACTGTACACTTAAGTGCAATACATTAGCTGCTGTGGCGCTGAAAAATGCATTCTTGACTCTTATTTTCACAGAATCCCTACAGTGTAGAAGCAGGCTATTCGGCCCATGGAGTCCACACCGACCCTCTGAAGAGCATCTCATCCAGACCTACACCCCTGCCCCACCCTATGCCTGAGTTTCCATGGTTTATCCACTTAATCTGCACATTTTTGGATTGTGGGGGGAAACCGGAGCACCGAGAGGAAACCGACGCAGACGTAGGGAGTACGTCCAAACTCCGCACAGACTGTCGTCCGAGGGTGGAATGGAAAATGAGCCCCTGGCGCTGTGAGCCAGCAGTGCTGACCACTCTACCGCCCTTGACATTTCCTTCTGATGTTTCAGCGTTAAGGAGTACAGCCAGACTCTAAACTCCCTTTCTCCTCACGAATCTTTAAGTGTGATGCCCCTCACAAAATTCAAATTCGAATTTTTCAAATCCAGGCCTGGACACCCGAACTCTAATAGAAGTCATAGGATCTCTACAGTGTGGAAACAGGCCCTTCAGCCCAACAAGTCCACACTGAAACTCAGAGCATCCCACCCATACCCGTCCCCTTGTAACCCAGCTAATCTACACATCCCTGAACACTACGGGCAATTTAGCATGGCGAATCCACCTAACCTGCACATCTTTGGACTGTGGGAGGAAACCCACACAGACACGGGGAGAATGTGCAAACTCCACACAGACAGTCACCCGAAGATGGAATCAAACCTGGGTCCCTGGTGCTGTGAGGCAGCAGTGCTAACCACTGAGCCACCGTGCCACCCCAATGTCACAATTCACATCCCTCATATCCATGACCTGGATGGCCTGTCCTTGCTGGTCCTTCACACTTTGCGTGCATCCTCCTCCAACTCCTGTCCTCCACAAACCAGCTGAATATGACTGCTGGTCCTGAATTCCACTTTCAGTGACCCAGTCATGGTGAAAAATATTCCTGTAGTAGTTTCTACTTCAGTCTCAAACTGTTATCTCTGGAACCTCGTGGTTTTAACCGTAGAGATAGGGTTTAATCATTGAACTTTAATGAGTATTTAGATGGATCCTTTGTAACTGAGAACACAGGAATCATGTGCTTCTATTCTGCTAGGAAGTTCCAACCTGTACAGCAAAGAGCATGCTGCTATGTAACCTAACCATTAACTGGAGGTAGATTAGATCAGTTGGCTGGTTTTCGATTTAGTGTGGCACCAACAGTGTAAGTTTAATTCCTTCTCAACCTTAGGTGAGACAACCTTCAGGCTAAATCACCACCAGACATTTCTATCTACTGAGAAAGCAGCCTTACAGTTCTCTGGGACTACATCTACTTTACTACTTGCTTCAATTTGTTGATAAACATTGATCAAAAGTAACCAAAAACTTTGCATGAGCTTATACAAGGATCTGAAGAATGCATATTAGAAACACTGTGCTCCTTATATATTTTATTTTCATGTTATCCATGGTGTCGGGTTTCATTTGAACACTGGATAAGTCATAATTTCTTTTGGCTAAACATTGGGTAGATGGAAACTATCAATTTCAGCTCCTCTGTAAACTCCACTCCCTCAGCACTGATTCAATCCCCTCCCTATCTTCTCTCGTCAGTTGAAACAAACAACTTGCAACTATGGTTTGCTACTTGTTCCTAAGCTGTGTTTTCAAATTCCATATCTTCACCACCACGATGAATGGCAATATCTGTCTACATAACCTCTCTGGCTGTGCTTCTGTTGATTTTTGCACGTAACAAAGGCACTGTCTCAGCAACATCTACAATTCCAATGCTTTTCTGGCTAATGTCTCATCCTCCACCCTCTAGTAATTTCAGTTATTCAGATCTGAACACACATCAAGTATCATTTCCCCTACCATCAATATTTCCTACATATGTGTCCGATTAAGTGGCTATGCAGAAATGTGGAAGGTATCATTCGGCACAACAAGCATTCCTTTTAAATTGCATATGAATGTGTTCATGAAATGATCTGAAACAGGTAATATAATGCAGCAAACATGCAGCATGCAACAAAAAAGAACATTGTCCATCAGTGCCCATCAGAACATTGCTCACACTGACTTGAAAGATGTTACTAATAGTCATCTTGTTAAAAAGAACGAGGAGATGTGAAGGAGGACACGCACACAGATACATTCAAATAAATGAATAACCTAGGATAGTTAAATGGGATCAGATAATGGGAGGCACAAGGAAGGGAATCAAAAACAGATGGTAGACAAACAGGAGGCTGGAAGAACACAGCAGGCCAGGCAGCATCTGGAGGAAAGGAGCAGTCAA